ATGCTCATCGCAGAAGTAGCTTCCAAAGCGAAAAGAAAGAGTTTTCTGAATTAGCGTTGACATAAATGTGAACATTCCCGATCGTATTAAGATCACTGATCATCAATCTGCAGGACATTGATATCATGATGTTTACCCCATGCTACTATGATGAATGTGTCTTCTTTCCTTTTGTTACAAGGAATAAGTTTTAATGAACCATCCAATTTCGTCCTCAATGATTTGGACTTTAATGAATAATCTCAGTCTCGGTCTCATACATAGTGTTTGCCATGACGCAGAAAACCTGCGTATGTGACGCACAAATTATCTCAAATACGCAGTGAATTAAGAAGCTTGCATCATTGTTGAGGCAAAGCTACTGGACCCTTAGTTTGCTGTTGTTTAACACACAAGGTAAGCTCATACCGCTAACAATCAATATCACAGCACATGATTACCCTGGATAACCCAAGCTGCCTCTTAGATGCTTGAAGGTTAAAGTCAGATGACTTTTTCCACTGGGTACCCATTTCCTGCTGGGTGAACAGAAGCAATTTTGACCAACTTACTTGCCTAAGGTGGGACCATATGTATCACATGTGCTTCGTTGTGGGGCAGGACTGACGTCCTAGAAACTCTCAGGAGTCAAGCTGCCAAACACGGTCACCCATCCAAGGACTCTCCGAGCTCGACGTTGCTTAACTTCACCGATTTGTGACCTGAGCTTTGAGCACAGGACCACACGCCACCACATGTAACATGTCCATGACTTCCTCTCATGACATCAGGGTGTCATGATGACTCCTAAATATTTATGCCAAGGGCAAACACTGCATACATTTGTTTAGAGACAGACTTCTAGAAAGATCTACTGATCACTGTACTTCTAAAATGACATTTGAACTAGCATCAGCAGATTCTGGCATGCCTAAGGGACTTAACTCTTAACACCTATGCCTTCTATGTTATAAAAATGACTGTGTATACAAGTAACACCTGTAGGTTCCTTCACAGATGTCATGATGGTTTGATGCTGCTTAGATAATTTCTACCAGATTAGAATTTTTGTTGCTAATTCAATATGAACCATTTTTAATTATAGCAACTCGCTTTAATTCTGACAAGTCTTTATGGTAAAAGAGAAACCCCAATAATCCACATATTTCATTCCAAAATGTTTAATTAATCTGTGTTATTGTTCCTTTTATGTAGTAGACTGTGTTAATATCAGCGCTTAATAATCGTAAACTTGATAAAAATAGTAAGAAACGTAATACATCTGAAATTCATAGTTTTCGCCACTCACTAGTCAGTCAAACTGACTTTACTTGAAGCGAGCATGACAGGCGTCCACAGTGACAGCACATACTCCTTTTGCCGATGTCTTTGTGGTGGGAACCTGTGAAGATTCGGGTTAGATTTGGTCTTCAGTAACCCCTGCTTGTTGTAAGAGGCGACTAATGGGGTCTGGTAATCAGGATTGTTGACTTGGTTGTCACATGTCATCGTATCCGAATTTGCGTACATCAGTGCTCATGCTGTTGATCACTGGATTGTCTGGTCCAGACTCTGTTATTTACAGACCACTGCAATGGGTGCAGCGTAAAACTAAATTAACTCACACTCAATTTTGGGCGGGATAAAGATGCAGAAATGCATGTGATGCACGATTAATTGTCAGAATGTGTTCAGCGAGGATTGTCCAGAATATATGTGGTTCAGTTTATCATGTTATTCTGTGCAAATGTTGGTAAAATCTACTGAACTTGTGCACGCTTTACGATTTTGTGAACATTATTGGCCTGGTTCCAGTTTTTAAGCTTGTCAGAGACAGCCTCATTTCATAATGTGACTGAAATGGATGTGTCACTTTGATCACTTTTACAGAACAAATCCGCTGTATGTATTCAGAGGTGTACAAAAAAACACCTAGTTCATCAAATAATGGCTTGTGTTATTGATGCAATAAAACCAATCTAATAAGCTTGGTGTCTTAATCAGATACATATGCAAATTAGGCTGCCCAGCAGGAGCTACTTTTATGCTCCATACATGGATGCAATGCCCTTTTCCTCAAGAAACTATTGACTAAGTTTCCCATTATCCTTAGACGTCAGTTTATCAATGTATCGCCATGATTCTGTGGACTTAATTAGCTGCATGTCATTTGACACTATATAATGTATTGTGCGTGTAACCCAAGTATTTTATTCATACAGAGTTTATGAAACTTCTTCACGGAGTGAAAATTACATCATAAACATACATATTTTAAGAATGGCATTAAATGTTTAAGAGACTTTTTTCCAAGTGTGTTTGCAAATTGTAATCTGTGTGTGTGCACACTTGCGAAGTATTTACAACAGACAAACTTGGAACCCTATGTATCCATCTGGTTCAGACTGCTAATCCAAGCACTTCTTCTTGCTTGTTCAGCTCTTTATAGCATTTGAAGTTTTCCTGAACCAATCTTCTCTTCACCCTTCTGTGAAGTTGTCCTTAACTATGCACCTCTATAATGTAGGCTGTGAAGTTGTCCTCTATCAAGCACCTCTATAATGTAGGCTGTGAAGTTGTCCTCTATCAAGCACCTCTATAATGTAGGCTGTGAAGTTGTCCTGGGTCAAGCACCTCTATAATGTAGGCTGTGAAGTTGTCCTGGATCAAGCACCTCTGTAAAGTAGGCTGTGAAATTGTCCTGGATCAAGCACCTCTGTAATGTAGGCTGTGAAGTTGTCCTCGATCAAGGACCTCTATAATGTAGGCTGTGGAGTTATCTTGTGACCAATCACTTCTGTAATGTAGGCTGTGAAGTTGTCCTGGATCAAGCACCTCTGTAATGTAGGCTGTGAAGTTGTCCTGGATCAAGCACCTCTGTAATGTAGGCTGTGAAGTTGTCCTCTATCAAGCACCTCTGTAATGTAAGCTGTGAAGTTGTCCTGTGACCAAGCACCTCTTTAATGTAGGCTGTGAAGTTGTCCTGGATCAAGCACCTCTGTAATGTAGGCTGTGAAGTTGTCCTGGATCAAGCACCTCTGTAATGTAGGCTGTGAAGTTGTCCTGTGACAAAGCACCTCTGTAATGTAGGCTGTGAAGTTGTCCTGGACCAAGCACCTCTGTAATGTAGGCTGTGAAGTAGTCCTGGATCAAGCACCTCTGTAATGTAGGCTGTGAAGTTGTCCTGGATCAAGCACCTCTGTAATGTAGGCTGTGAAGTCGTCCTGGATCAAGCACCTCTGTAATGTAGGCTGTGAAGTTGTCCTGGATCAAGCACCTCTGTAATGTAGGCTGTGAAGTTGTCCTGGATCAAGCACCTCTGTAATGTAAGCTGTTTTACTGTTATTACACAGTTTTCAGATCCTTTATTTACCACACAAATCAAGGAGACTGTAACAGCATCGGTGTCATTTACATTATGGCTTTTGCCTCATGGAAGATGTTCAGAGCTGCTGACTGATTTAAATTCTTGTGGTTTATTACCTTTTCAGTTCTTTGTCTAAGACTCATATTGCTATAAAGTAATGGTTTGTTTTAACTGGCTAAGCCTTCTGGCACTCTTAGGCACTGCATTATATCAAAATGTATGTTAGGATGACATTTGATAGATAATTAGGAGATAAACATACTGTGTTGGAAAATCAGAGGTATATTATGAAATTATCATAGCTCTAAATTTGATTTAAAACCAAACGGGTAATGCAGTTTATATACATACAGAGGCAGAAGACTGACTGACTGACTGAATTTGGTTTTACGCCGCTTTTAGCAATATTCCAGCAACATCACGGCGGGGGACACCAGAAATGGGCTTCACAAATTGTACCCATGTGGGGATTCAAACCCGGGTCTTCGGCGTGACGAGCCAACGCTTTAACCACTAGGCTACCCCACCGCCCCCAGAGGCAGAAGAAAACATACTACTTTATGGTTAAGGGGCGGTGGGGTAGCCTAGTGGTTAAAGCGTTCGCTCGTCACGTTGAGGACTCGGGTTCGATTCCCACATGGGTACAATGTGTGAAGCCCATCTCTGGTGTCCCCCGCCATTATATTGCTGGAATATTGCTAAAAGCGGCGAAAAACTAAACTCACTCATTCACTCACTCACTTTATGGTTAACAACTTCTTGGTTTAAAGGCAAGAATGTAATGGTTGTCAACTTGTGGTTTGTTACATTAGTGACTGTTCCATGTAGATTCTGAAGCCATTTTTAAGCTGGAGTGACTGCAACTGAGTAGTAACAGGTTGGTGTTCATGATAAGTTGTGTTAAGCTGGCGATTGAACATGAACAAATGGTAGTGATAACAAGTCGTACACAGACATTTGGAAGATGCCAGATGTTGAGCAACAAATGGCACACAGGTAATGAAACCAGATATACAGTAAGGGTTAAAAGTTGCACGAGCTCAAGTATTTAGACTTTTAGGTTACTAATTATAATAGCTGAAATAGCTGATTGTTTATTAATTAAAATAATTGAACAAGCTGATTGGTTACTAATATTAGCTGAACAAACTGTTTGCTGACCAATTAAAATAACCAAACAAGCTGTTTGGTTACTGTTGGTAAATGGTTAGTGATCACATATTGAGAGTCAGTTCCAGGATTATATAAAAGGGATCACACTTGACCAGTGTATGAAACATACATCATGTCGGAAAACACATCTCCAGAACAGAACAGAACTTTTATTACCCTCAGGCAAGGATACTTGGCATAAGAGGGACAAATATACAGTTGAGAATACATGGGATTGCAGTGTGGTTTACAAGGAAGATTGTACAGTTTTCATGATAATACTACAAAATATACACAGTTTTTAAAACACTAATTCGTTTACAGTTAAACAATTCGTTAAATTTTAAAACATTGTGTTTTTTAACAGAATGGTTTGGGATATAAGTTTTCCGATGATGTTTGAAGAAAGGGCAGACAAAAATGTAATGAAATTCATCTCCATCATCACCCATGTCGCAGAGGTTACACATTCTTTCTTCGAGTGAAATTTTGTGTCACCTACCTACTTCTATAGGTAAACGATGGCTTCAAATAATCATCATCATCATAATCATCATAATCATCACTGGATCATGCAATGAACAAAAGCACATGAGTAAAAGCATGTTAGTTGTCTTCAGAAAATGTGATGTACACCCCAGGCACCTCCTTCAGGATGCACTAGTGCTGATGTTTTTCAGCATAACATATGTCTACATTAACTATATTTTCTTTTGTGTAGTGTGCTGTGTTGTATAATGCACACACATCATTCTTAGAGACCCGTGAAGGTCCAAGTTAGAATGAACCTTCAGTAACCCATGCTTGTCGTAAGAGGCGACTAACGGGATCGGGTGGTCAGGCTCACTGGTTTGGTTGACACATGTCATCGGTTCCCAATTGCGCAGATCGATGCTCATGATGTTGATCACTGGATTGTCTGGTCTAGACTCGATTATTTACAGACCATTGCCATATGGCTGGAATATTGCTGAGTGCGGCGTAAAACTCAACTCACTCACTCATTCTTAGAAACAAGGGGGAGGGGGCGGCGGGGTATCGTATTGGTTAAAGCGGTCGCTCGTCACACCAAAGCCTGGGTTCGATTCCTCACATGTGTACAGTGTGTGAAGCCCATTTCTGGTGTCCCCCGCCGTGATATTGCTGGAATATTGCTACAATTGGCATAAAACGTGGTTAGCCAAGTGGTTAAAGTGTTCGCTCATTTTTAGAAGACCCAGGTTCGATTCTCCACATGGGTACAGTATGAAGGCCATATCTGGTGTCACCTCCTGTGATATTGCTGGAATACTGGTAAAAGCAATGTAAAACCATACGCACTCTCAGAGCAAGCTTAAGCAAAAGATATGGTTTCTTATTTCTGTGCAGTGGAAAACTACACCATTTTGCTTCTGGTGAATGAACTAGAGACAGCAAATTTGGTCAATGAAATTGTGAATTTTCTGATAAAGCGTCACTAGACATATTGATTTGCAATTATTCACACCCTCCTCTGCCCAGCTGTATCTTCTTTCAGAAGTGCACGCTGTACATAAGCTGAAAATATGGTACATTTGATGTTTCACCCTAGCTTCGGCAACAGTTGTCAAGGAATTGGATCAGTGTCTTAACACTTTAGTCGAGTTGTTCTTTCAAGCATGGTGGCGGTGGGGTAGCCTCGTGGTTAAAGCGTTGGCTTGTCACGCCGAAGACCCGGGTTCGATTCCCCACATGGTTACAGTGTGTGAAGCCCATCTCTGGTGTCCCCCGCCGTGATATTGCTGGAATATTGCTAAAAGCTGCGTAAAACTAAACTCACTCACTCACTCTTTCAAGCAGGCAAGGTGATTACCAAGTATCTGTCTGATGGTGCTGTTGATGCAGATGAATTTTTTCACACGTCTGTCCTATAAACAAGTAGTGGTCGGCACGGACTCCATATATTGTGTCTGAGTGGGGTGTCAGTGTTGAACTGGTATGGAATTTCAGTGGTTTAGCATCATTAAATTGGCATCATTCTAGATTAGCAGCCAATGTGTATGCATTTCGCTGTGTAAGTGCTAACATTTTTAATTGCTTTTCAACCCCATTTCCCTTCAACCCGTGAAGATCAGGGTTAGAATTGATCTTCAGTAACCTATGCTTGTCGTAAGAGGTGAGAGTTGGGACAGTCTCGCTGACTTTGTTGACACGTGTGATCGTATCCCAATTGATGCTCATGCTGTTGATTACTGGATTGTCTGGTTTACAGACTGCCGCCATATAGCTGGAATACTGCTGAGTGCAGCATAAAACTAAACTCACTCACTCACCATTTCACTTCACACTAATGTAGGCATTAAGGTGTATGAGTGAGTGAGTTTTGTTTAATGGAGAAACCTACGCATAATGCTACAACCAACATTAAACAGAATTAAATGGAAGTATGTTGTTGTTGTTTTTTTCATAAAATAATTTCATTTGCACTACATATAAAATATATTTCAAGCTGGTTTGTTTTTGGAGATTAACATAAAATCAAGCCTGACAATTGTTTGTCATATTTCTAAATCAGGAAAATATTTTTGGTGGTTTTGGGTAAGAAGTACCATAAATAATGTCAGGAATATGTGTTCTGATGGTAACACTCTAAAACACAGATTTATGGGTCATGTTTTAAAGTCCAGTCTGGTTTAAGTCGCATGGTGCAGATTTACTAGACTACTCTGATCAACCTGGAATCTGACGATGTCAAACAATGTTCACTCCATCTCACAGCTGGTTTGCAACTCGTGGTACATCTAAATATTCAGTGATAACTGGTGGGATCATGTAGGTGGTAAAAGTGACGTGGGCAAGAAATCCATAGCAGGACGTGTGAGCTGCTTTGCTTCTGAGAGTGATGGGATAAATATATCAGAAAACTCTCCCAGCATTAGATCTTTTCTGACTTTTCAGCAAATATGTGTGCAAGATACCAAGAGTACATCACACCTCCTCAGAACCAGCTTGTCTAGATGAGCTAATTGTGATGAAGCTGCTCAATCTTTCATGAGTTATATTGTTTCCACTGACTCGGTCATTCTAGTTGAATTGAATCATTGCTTTAACACCTGGTGTTGTCACTGGGTTTCTGTGATCCTTTCGTATAATTTTCACAACTATTTTTCTTTTTCACACCAAACAGAATTTGTTTCTGGAGACAGTCAAGGCTGGTTGGTATTTTTCACGGACGTTTTATATTTCAGCAACACCTTCCTGACATATGTGCTAGTAATGGTATTGATGATGATGTAAATGATTCTGTCAGAACAACCATCAGGTTCTTCTACCTTGGAAACAGCCAGACTGACAGCTCCCAATGTGTACATTGTGTACAAGTCCTATACTGGTGTCACCACCCTGGTGTACAGGCCCTATAATAGTGTCACTACCCTGGTGTACAGGTCCTATACTGGTGTCAGCACCCCAGTGTACAGGTCCTATACTGGTGTCACCACCCTGGTGTACAGGTCCTATACTGGTGTCACCACCCTGGTGTACAGGTCCTATACTGGTGTCACCCCCACAGGTGGTCCCATACTGGTGTCACCACCCCAGTGTACAGGTCCTATACTGGTGTCACCACCCCGGTGTGTACAGGTCCCATAATAGTGTCACCACCCTGGTGTACAGGTCCTATACTGGTGTCACCACCCTGGTGTACAGGTCCTATACTGGTGTCACCACCCCCTGCGTGTACCCATACTGGTGTCCACCCTGGTGTACAGGTACCACCCTGTGTCACCACCCTGGTGTACAGGTGTCACCCCCTGTCCCATACTGGTGTCACCACCCTGGTGTACACTGGTGTCCCATACTAGTGTCACCACCCCAGTGTACAGGTCCTATACTGGTCCCCAGTGTACTGGTGTCTGGTGTCACCACCCTGGTGTACAGGTCCTATACTGGTGTCACTACCCCAGTGTACAGGTCCCATACTGGTGTCACCACCCCAGTGTGTGTACAGGTCCTGTACTACCAGTGTCACCACCTATACTGGTGTACAGGTCCCATACTAGTCACCACCCTGGTGTATGGTCCCATACTGGTGTCACCACCCTACTGTGTACCACCCTGGTGTACAGGTCCCATACTGGTGTCACCACCCTGGTGTACAGGTCCCATACTGGTGTCACCACCCTGGTGTACAGGTCCTACTGGTGTCACCACCCCAGGTACAGGTCCTGGTACTGGTGTCACCACCCCCTGGTGTACAGGTCCTATACTGGTGTCACCCTACCACCAGTGTACAGGTCCCATACTGGTGTCACCACCCCAGTGTACAGGTCCTATACTGGTGTCACCACCCTGTACAGTGGTGTCACCACAGGTCCCTATACTGGTGTCACCACCCTGGTGTACAGGTCCTATACTGGTGTCACCACCCCAGTGTACAGGTCCTATACTGGTGTCACCACCCCAGTGTACAGGGTGTCACCACCCACCACCTTGTATACAGGTCCTATACTGGTGTCACCACCCCAGTGTACAGGTCCTATACTGGTGTCACCACCCCAGTGTACAGGTCCTATACTGGTGTCACCACCACCAGGTCCTATACTGGTGTCACCACCCCCTGTGTACAGGTCCTATACTGGTGTCACCACCCCAGTGTACAGGTCCTATACTGGTGTCACCACCCTTGTGTACAGGTCCTATACTGGTGTCACCACCCTGGTGTACAGGTCCTATACTGGTGTCACCACCCTGGTGTACAGGTCCTATACTGGTGTCACCACCCCAGTGTACAGGTCCTATACTGGTGTCACCACCCTGGTGTACAGGTCCTATACTGGTGTCACCACCCCAGTGTACAGGTCCTATACTGGTGTCACCACCCCAGTGTACAGGTCCTATACTGGTGTCACCACCCTGTGTACAGGTGTACAGGTCCCATACTAGTGTCACCACCCTGGTGTACAGGTCCTATACTGGTGTCACTGGTGTCACCACCCCAGTGTACAGGTCCTATACTGGTGTCACCACCCTGGTGTACAGGTCCTATACTGGTGTCACCACCCCAGTGTACAGGTCCTATACTGGTGTCACCACCCCAGTGTACAGGTCCTATACTGGTGTCACCACCCCAGTGTACAGGTCCTATACTGGTGTCACCACCCCAGTGTACAGGTCCTATACTGGTGTCACCACCCCAGTGTACAGGTCCCCATATACTGGTGTCACCCACCCCAGTGTACAGGTCCTATACTGGTGTCACCACCCCCATACTGGTGTCACCACCCCGGTACAGGTCCTATACTGGTGTCACCACCCTGGTGTACAGGTCCCTATACTGGTGTCACCACCCTTGTGTACAGGTCCTATACTGGTGTCACCACCCTGGTGTACAGGTCCTATACTGGTGTCACCACCCCAGTGTACAGGTCCTATACTGGTGTCACCACCCTTGTGTACAGGTCCTATACTGGTGTCACCACCCCAGTGTACAGGTCCTATACTAGTGTCACCACCCTGGTGTACAGGTCCTATACTGGTGTCACCACCCTTGTGTACAGGTCCTATACTGGTGTCACCACCCAAGTGTACAGGTCCTATACTAGTGTCACCACCCTGGTGTACAGGTCCCTATACTGGTGTCACCACCCCAGTGTACAGGCCCTATACTGGTGTCACCATCCTGGTGTACAGGTCCTATACTGGTGTCACCACCCCAGTGTACAGGTCCTATACTGGTGTCACCATCCTGGTGTACAGGTCCTATACTGGTGTCACCACCCCAGTGTACAGGTCCTATACTGGTGTCACCATCCTGGTGTACAGGTCCTATACTGGTGTCACCACCCCAGTGTACAGGCCCTATACTCCCCAGTGTACAGCTGAAAACCCCTGTGTATTGAATATGAGACCCAAGTTTGTGGAAAATATGAGAAAATGTATCAGTATGTGCCAAAATAAGCGTTAGTCATGGAAACAGTTTATCCGTATGACAATTAAAACCCTGCCTTGGTGGCACTGTTACAAAATGCACATGACTAAATCTAATCCTGTGGGTTTGGGGACAGCATATTGCACCTGAGAAGTACAGGTCAGTACTAATCTGGAAATGGATATCATTCATTTGGCATGCTGTGTGTTGTGATGCGAAAAGTATTTGTGTAGCTGTAAGACATTCTGACATTGAGACATTTCCCACACAATCTGTGTACCGAGCGCCTCCGCTGCCTTGAGGCTAATCTTCAAATGGTGGCTATGATTTTGCAGTCTGCATAGTGATGGTTTTGTAGTTGTTAGACATCAAAGTCTTATTTGAACATTCACTTAGCTCTGAACAACTCAAGTAATGTAACTCCAATCTAGATATGGAGGTCGATGAGTGTTTATGGGATGAGGGAGAGAAATTCATATGGTATTACTGTCGAATATACCAGTCTTGGACAGAGTACTATATTTCACAAAGGAGCTGGTTAGAGTATGGGCAGTTTGGTAAAAGCTGTGAACTGTTGTTGGGTCTGCTCTGCTGACAGGGCTTGTGACCTTATGTCATGGTTTTCCTTAAACTTGACCAAATGAAGCTGTACATCTTGTTCGAGTTTGGACCAGACAATCCAGTGATCAACAGCAAGAGCATCGATGTACTGCAGTTGGGATACAACATGTGTCGACCAAGAGGTTTCAGTATCATTTTCAGTATGGCCTCTGTGGCAACCCAATTGAAAATGATAAAGTCTTTTTTTTCTTCATTTGTATACCCCTTTTTAAAAATGTCATAAAATTAGGTATGTTCCATTTGATTTGTATATTTGAATGTTGACCTAATATCAAAACTACAAACATTTTCCTGAATAAAATTGGTCTAAAAGACACTCCTATGTGTACTTTCTGTTCAAAAGAATTAGAAACAATTGTCCATCTATTCTGTAATTGTTGTCATGTTAAAAAGATTTGGAAGAGTTTGCAGTAGTCTTGAACCCCATGTCACCTCCTCTCACCAATTACTGTTTCTTTGTTACTTTGAAGTAATCAAATGTCATGAAAATGTAAGAAATTTTGTTAAAAAAGCTGAAAATTTGAAAAATGTGAAAATGGAAATGCTAAGAAAAGGAGCATCTCAAAAGTTCAATGTTAATTACAAAAATAATTCTTGATTTTTTTAAACCTTCCACCAACCAAAATTTACGTAATTGTGAAAAAGTTTACAGCATATGCCAAGTAATTATATCTTTGTAAAGTTTTATTGCTGCATTTGTTTTTCAGACATTCCATTATGTCAGTATGGCTGTTTACTTTCACCCAAATTGGTCTTCTACCAATGACAGAGATGCTTTATTTACAGAGAAAAAACATGATTATTTCATTGGTTATTTCTCAACTTGAAACCTAAGTAAACTCACCGACCCTGTTTCAGCTCTTTAATATGGCCTTAACTGGATGGATTGTTTGATTGTTTTGGGTTTTTTTGAGATTTATTCAAATTTACTTGATCTTCATTTTACCAAATTGAATGATTGGGTTATTGTTTCTGGTATCCATTCTTTTATTAGTTATATACACTTATGATCTTATCTCATTCTAATACCCCATAAAGATCCAGAATTGATCATCAGTAACCCATGCTTGTCGTAAGAGGCGACTAACGGGGTCAGGTGGTCAGGCACGCTGACTTGGTCGACACATGTTGTATCCTCTTGCTGTTGATCACTGGATTGTCTCTTGCTGTTGATCACTGGATTGTCTGGTCTAAACTTGATTATTTACTGACATCTTCTTAACCATGTAGTCTGGAATATTGCTGAGTGTATGCGTGAAATAATTAACTCACTCATTCTATTAGTTCACTTTTGACTAAGAATACATCTTCTTAACCATTGTGGACTTTTGGCATTTACTGTAGCAGTTAGGGGCATTACTCCCATATCTTAATGTGGGCTTTTGGCAACTAGCCTAGTGGTTAAAGTGTTTGCTTGTCACAGGTTTGATTCCCTATGTGGATACAATGTGTGAAGCCCATTTCAGCTGTTCCCCACTGTGATGTTGCTGGAATATTGCTAAAAGCAGCATAAAAATATAATCACTCACCCACTCACCCACCCACCCACCTGTTGTACAAATGGTTTTCTTACTGTTGTCTGCTAAGCAGCCTATGTGCATGGGTGGAGACTGAGCGAGAGTTGGACGTGATGTGCTTCAGTACATTATCACGTTCGCAACATGACCAGGGAGTTTTTCGACTATGACTATGTTGTCGATATGAGGAATAAAGGTGTAAACCTAAACTCTGCCTTCTTTTTACACCCACCAACCTACCCACTCACTCACTCACTCAACGCTGTTTTGATTGTTTTAAGGAACAGGCCCTGTAAACCCCCAAACTTGAGAAATCAATATTCTTTTTTCATTCATTAAACTTTTCAGCAGATTCAACTTCAGTCCTCATCATTCCCTTTCAGCTTGATAGTGAAAATGTCACCAAATTATTGTCATATTTCTGTATTGTGTAGTATGATCTGTTTTTGAAAGTTCAGAAATGGAGCTTGCGTCAACTCCTACACCAATTCAAATTGCCTAGACTATCTTGAATCAAGTTTCCACAACGACAGGATTCATTTACTGTATATTTGGGTGTAATGCCCACTTGGATATAAGATACTGGACCTTGCAGGTATTACATTGCAGACAAGATGGTAATTAATTTCTTCATGTTATATATGTGGAAATAATCACATTAAATCTGATATTGTTAGCTGATGAAAATAATGTGTACCGTAATCTATAATTGTCCTCATATTCTTTATACAGTATATCACTGTGTATGAAACGAACCCCATCTATAAAACAACCCTTCTTCCCCTTTATAAGTATCTTCAAACTGTGGTGGTGTGTGGTTCTGCACACAGAGCTCAGGTCACAAATGAGTTCAGCAACGTCCAGCTTGGAGAGTCCTTGGATGGATGACCGTGTTTGGCAGCGTGACTCCTGAGAGTTTCTAGGACTTCAGTCCTGCCCCTCACAATGAAGCACATGTGATACATGTGGTCTCACCTTAGGCAAGTGAGTTTGGTCAAACATGCCTCTGTTCACCCAGCAGAAAATGGGTACCCTGTGGGATAAGTCATGCAACTATTAACCTTCTAGCGCCTCACAGGCAGCTTGGGTTATCCGGGGTAATGATAATCAGATTGTTTGGGCGCTTCGAGCATGCATTATGCGTGGAGAAATGTGCATGATAAATGGACTATTATTATTATTATCATTATTAAACTAAATGCTAAATATAAACCATATCTGTAAAGCAATCCTGAACAAACCACATCACCAGCACAGACATCATCCATGTTTCAGTGAAAAGGTCTTTGTCTACTTCGTGGTTGTTTTTTTCATTACAACAATTTAATTAGATATATATATTTATGGAAACAATGGCAATACGAGGATGATTTAATGTAAATGTATTTGTGTAACTGTTTACGAAATTGTATCAGAAAATTTGATATGATCCTGTTCATAATTACTTAGATTCTTTTTGCAATATTCCAGAATATCACTGTGGGGGACACCAGAAATGGGCTTCACACATTGTACCCTATGTGGGGATTCACACAAACCGGGTCTTCAGCATGACGAACAAATGCTTAAAAACCGTTAGGCTACACCACTGCCCCCAATCATGACTGAGGCAAGGCTCATTTAAGCTATATGAGTAGAAATTGTATAGTATGAACAAGGAATTTGTATGTTAGTCACCTCTTTCGACAAGCATGGGTTGCTGATGATCAATTCTAACCCGGATCTTCACGTGATGCAGTTAAAACAGAATTGTGAGCTATGCATAAGGCGACCCTCCCCTTTAAATCCCTTTAATTCTAGCATAAAAACATTTGCCTTATACATCGTGATATGCATTATTTATGAGTGAGTGAGTGAGTGAGTTGGGTTTAAGCCGCTTTTAGCAATATTCCAGCAATATCACCAACAATATCACGGTTATTTATTAGTGAGTGAGTGAGTGAGTTGGGTTTTAAGCCGCTTTTAGCAATATTCCAGCAATATCACGGTGGGGGAACACCAGAAATGGGCTTCATGCATTGTACCCATGTGGGGAATCGAACCCGGCCTTTGGCGTGATGAGCAACTTTTTATGCTTGAACCACTAGGCTACACCCCTGCCCCCATCATTTATGAACTTGGTAATGTGTATCATGGAAATAATATGGTTGAAGATATTGTCATATATATCAGCAGTGGTACAGTAGTATCCTCGACAACTTCACTCGGGAAAACAGTTCAAATGATAAAGATCTGTTTGTTTTGGGTTTGGAATGGGGCGGGTGTGTGTGTGTGTGTGTGTGTGTGTGTGTGTGTGTGTGTTTGTGTAAAAAAAATTAGGCAGGGTTCAGTGTCGGCACGGGTACTACAGAAATGTACCCTAGACAACATCAGAACATTCAGAAACGTACCCTATGACAAGTCCATTTTGCATTGTGCTGTTTTCTTGATCGGAACATGCTGTTGTATTACATGCATTTGATTGTGTTTTATAAGAGTGAGTGAGTGTGGATTTACGCAGCTTTTATCAATATGCCTGCAGTTGAACAGGAACAACTACATATGGTTTTGCTTTTGGGTTGCGGAATATTGACTCATCCCCCAGTTTAGGGCACCAATTACGATTCTGTATTTTGACTTTGTTTGGGAAATATTTCTGTATACAGATAATGAGATTAACAGGTATAAGATATACAGGTTAAGATTAGAGTTGGGGCTTCAGATCATTGTCAGGGGGTCAGATTAGAGTTGCAGCTCCAGATCAGATTGTCATCTTTGTTTATCATTTTGGGCAGGCATCATCATACTCGTACTCTGAAGTTTCATGCAAATGGTATAGGTCAGCTACAGGCAACTTCTCCCACAAGTAGCTGGGCTTTTCTCTCAAATATACTGGCCTACCAACATATATTTGAATGACAGGATAAATGTGTTTAAAATCACATAAATCTTCTTCATAGCGGTTACTACTTACCTATCTAGTAAATTCTTCTTTTGAAATGGGAACGTTAAGTAGGCAAGAGGTTAAGCATTTGCTGATCATATTCTGGGTTTCATGAACACGAGGGTACAATATAAGCCAATTCTGGTTCAGTCCCACTGTTATGTGGCCAGAAGGCAAGGCGATGCTCTCATTTATTACGTATATTGGTATCAACATAACAAAGCAAACAGATATCAATAACAAGAGAGAGTGGTTTCCATTCAGCAAATGAAAGGAATGTTGACCTTCAGTTTTTACGTTATCATCATGTTGTCAAGATGATTAAATCAAGATGTTTTTGATTAGGTTAGTATTGGCAGACACGCTGTGGAAGGTCAAGCAGCCATTGACATACATCCATGCTTGAGTGCAAGCAGATACCTTGGCAATGCAGCCCAAGTTGGTTATGGGTCAATTAGAAGAGTTTACTGCCCTCTCAAAACTGTCTCTTGAAGATGATCTGTTTTCTCAGTTCAAAAGAAGATGTTGGTCGATAGATGATAAAAGACAAGTAGCGTGTGGTTTGATTGCATCAGAATTGGTAAAATTGTGAAAAATGGCAGGAATTCTCATTAATTACTCATTAACAATACTCTGCCTTGTTCAAAAGAATGCTTGAAGTGTGCTGGGAATGGTTCTTCTTGAATGGTGCTTGCTGGTGATGACTGGAAGGTATTAGGTAACGGGGAGACTTCAGGATGGAGTCGGAATGACTTCATGTTGGTTTTATGGTGATGGTGAAATCAGGTTTAATGTCAGATCCAAGAATATTGCACTTGTGTACTGATGTGCCTGTGTGTGTTTGGCAGTTTGGACAAGTCTGGATTAGTCTTGTTATATAATGCTAGACTACAGAGAATATTGTACTTGCGTACTGATGTGCCTGTGTGTGTGTGTGGCAGGTTGAACTAGTCTGGCTTAATGTTATATAATGCTAGACTACAGAGAAGCCATGCGACAATTTTGCTTGGATACTCACTCAAACACATTTTGCTGACATTGAGCTGACCAGTCAATGTTTCTTCCCCTTGATGCTGAGCACCAGCCAGGATAAAGTGCCGACTTTTGAGGTCTTTCGGTATGGACTGGTCAGTGGATCAAACTACCGAATTTCACCTCTCAGAACATACATTTTATCCACTTGGTCACATTGGTGGTTCTGGACCTGTTTCAGGAAGTTATCTTCGTGCTATGACAGCCGTATGTCTATGTTACAGTATAGGAGGTACAACAGTCGTAGCGCTACAATAGCTTTGTGAAATGGGACCCTGGATTTCTTATAGTTGACTGCAGTGTTAAATGTTACTACAAGTTCGTGGTGAACCAGCAATACCTTGAGAACTCTTGTATATAGAGAATCTCACCCGAGTGTCTTTTGATATCAAATATATCACCACGAGTTGATAAAGTTACAAATATCCAAGGCTTGCCGAGGATATTTCTATTTTTATCAACGAGTGGTTGATATATTTGATATCAGAAGACACGAGGGTGAGATTCTATTTACCATCAAAAATCACTCTTCATTAGTTTTCATTGAAAAAAGTACATCATTGCAGTGCAGCATTGTCATAGCATTGTGACATCATCATGCTCATGACGTCATAGCATTGTCAGGGTATTGTACAAAATCTACTCTCAAAACGATATCTCCTAGGAACACAGTTTTGGATGATAAATGCTGTTATTATTCATGTGCCCTTGCATCAACTATACTCTTGAAGTGAAATGCAGGAAAATGTTCTTCAGCAAAATATCAACACTAATGTAGCCTGAAAGTCATTACTTCCTAAGCTTTTCACTTCAGTGGTGCCCTCCATGTAAATACTAGACCCGTGCAAAAAGTATTCGGACACTTGACGTAATTTCCATTGACCTACATGTTATTTCAGTTTAGCAGAAATAATTTTCATGAAGTGAGTGAAGGGTGGATCTTTGTAAAATTTGACAGGCAAACTTGAAGTCATCTCTGCTCTGTGCACATAATTTCAGTAAATTTTCTGACCACTATTTAACTAATGACATCACATTTATCAACTGACGTATGGTTCCACAATGCACGATCCCATAGGCTGCCATGTTAAAGGAGTTCACGGCACAGTACGTGGATTAAATTGTTGCTGTTCGATAAATAAGCAACAGAAAATTAAACAGACCATGTAAAAGCATGTTCCTTATAAACATAGTTTACTGTAGTTTAGACTTGAAGAATGCTTATTAAACTTGCATGAATCACATTTGTTTTGGTTGGCTTCCATTTATAAACTTTAGAACAAGAAGGCCAACAATGTGGGGAGTTACGCTATATGGTGGGTGAGCTGTCTAAGGTGCCAGGCTAGTGATCCAGCGATCTTGAGGTGCATCGTTAACTCTGTTTCCGTGTGTAAAAACATAGTGGAGTCAACTTTGTGTGCAAACTCTTTCCTTTTGGAACANGTGTTGTCACAACCCCTAGTGTACAGTACACAACCCTGTGCAATTAAAAGAACCCATGAATCCGTTGGTAAATGACCAGATGGTGGCCACATGAATACGTGCAAGCACCTAGTTGCGGGTAAAGCAACATGCAGTAAAACTTGGACAAAGTACTGTACATGTGTCCCAGTCCACCCAGCTGTGAATGGGTACCTTGTTAGGATGAGAAAGCCACATTAAGTCGGTGCGCCTAGTGGCTGCACAAGGTGTATGATCCCCAGGGATTTGAGATTGATAATACAATGTGCCGTTTGAGATTGACATCCAATGATCAAGGGAAAAATGACTTGTGAAGCAACAATGTTGCTTTCCATGCCAAATGGAACCCATTATGCTGACAATTGAGACTGATTCTTGATGTGTTGTATGACATCTACATAGAAACCAAAAGACATTGTAATTTTAAACCTTTTAGATTTTA